ACCCACATGACGATTAAGTCTTCATAACTACCCCCCCCCCCCCCCCCCATTCTAATTTTACATTTTATTGAACGATTTGGCGTCATACTAGAGTATAGGCTTGATAGGTCTGCTCGATGACCTTTTTTATTCTCGGCCTTACCAAATTGCTTTCATGGTGCTAATATTGTGGAAAAGATTGGAAAACGTTAAATAAAAATTTCTTTATTTTAAATTTACTTTTATAAAATATACTAACTAAAAATAACTCAAAAATTAAATATAAAATAAGGTTTATATTATAAAAAAACAATTAAAGCGAAGAACAAGATTACAGGCTAACATATTTAATAGGTTATGTTCAAATAATAGCAATTTAAGTTAAACGAATTTAAATTAAAAAAATCAATCTCAATTAACACATGGGTATTCCAATTTTTATCCTAAATAGGCCTTTAAACTGACTATTTCTGCTATCTTATATATTTTTTTTAAAAAGAAGTAATTTATTGCCATTTTAATCTGAAAATAAAAATATATCATTCATAAATTTTCAATTGTTTATTTTTAAATTAGAGTCTTCTTTCGTTATATACAATCTAACAATGAAATTAATTTTACAAAAAACAACTTTTGATTAAATTTAAAATTGTAAAAGAAAGATTATATTTATAAACCCGTTCCATCCTAAAATAATATTTTCCCGACCCAAGATCATGGCTAAGATAAGCTTAATACCAAAAAGCCGTAAAACGAAAGAAGACATAAAAATAACTTTTTAATAATGCACTTATATATTAAAATACCATTTTTAAATTTACTAATCTCTCAGTCACAAACTTATATTATATCCCAATTTTATATTTTTGAACTCGGATTCCTCACCAACCATTTGTGGTTCATCATTACCAATTGTTTTTCACCAATGTTTCTATCACTATTTCTCATTCATCGTAATTTGTGATTCCTCGCCTCCTCCCATCCTGGCTAAAAGCGATTGTGTGGTCAATGTTGGAATTCTGTCCTTCTGAAATTTCTCTGTTCTTCCGAATATAATTTTAAGCTAATAAAAATTCATCTCCTTTACCCCCCCCTTTCCCCACCCAAATATATGCGATGAAACAATAACTTATGAAGTTTTCGTTATATGAAGATGGGGATTTGTAAAAATTAGAGTTTGGATATATAAAATTTGATCAATGATATTGAATAATAAATATGTAAATTGGTTTATTGGTTATAAGGTTGTTTTTGAACAATTACTCATATTAGATGAAACATAAAATTGTGAGGGATTCATCATAGTAATTTGAGATAAATAAATATGTGCCAAGCTAATAAAATTGTAGATCATTAACTAGTTGTGTAATAACAATAAGTAAAGGGATTAACTTGGGTTTGATTAGACCAGAATTAAATATGTTTGGTAGGGCAATAACACAGGTATAGTGATTAAGCCCTGGTGATAATAAAATAATCTATTTGTTCAAAATTATAAGTATCTTTATTAATTTAAATTTTATAAAAATGAATGAATACTAAATGTATATTTATGTGTAAATAGTATTTTTAAAATATTACAAAATGTGAATTATATATAATTAGTATAATAAATTATATGTTAGGAGGGAGGAGGTCAAAAAAGAGAGCCGTGGATGGCGATACAATTAGATCTGCATATATTAATAGATACATGCTGTCGAAGATAGAAGCCTTCATGTGGGTCATCAGTGATGGCGCGAATTTTTTTATCAAGGGATGTGAAGAAGGTTAAGGCATGATTGCCGAAAAAACCGGTTGTGTTGAATACAATTGGCATGAGATTGCAATTGATTAGGGAAATGTATTTGTTAATTTTAGAGCTTTCCGCTTGCACGAATGAGTTGTGGAAACGAGAGAGCGAATCGGTCGATACAAGTGTAATCCCATGCTAAACGAGTTCCATTACTCTAAGGTATTAAGGTCAGCCCATCTGGCCAGTATTCTTAAATAAGGAAACAATATTATAAATATATACTTATTCCCTTTCTCATTATATTTATTCCCGTCCCCATTATAATGTATTTTAGTGATCTGCATCGGGCCTAATTTTTCAAGCCCGGCCTGGGCCGAAATTTATTTTAAAAATGTTTTGCCGGCCCGGCCCGAACCCGAAATTTTTTTAAAAAAGTTTGCCGGCCCGGCTCGAACCCGAATTTTTTTAAAAAAATTTACGGTCCCGGCTCGGCCAAAATTTATTTAAATATAGAAATTAATTTTTATAATTCTTCAAAATAAAAGATATATGTTATATGTCGTTTAGTTTCAATAAATAAAATCAAATATTTTTATTTTACATAAAAAATTCAATGTAAAATTGATAAATTTAGATTATATTTAAAAAATTTCCAAGGTCCGACCCAATCCAGCCCGATTTTTTTAAAAAAATATTAGGCTCGGCCCGGCCCGAACCCGATTATTTTAAATAAAATTAACCCAAGCCCGGCGGGCCGGACCGGACTCGGGCCGGGCCTAACTTAGCAGATCTCTGATGTATTTATTGATTGTATTCCAAAATAAGTAAACAACAATATTATAAAGGTACATTTATTCCCTTTCCCATTCCCCGTGATAATTTATTTATTGATTGTATTCCAAAATAAGGAAACAACAATATTATAAAGATAAATTTATTCCCTTTCTCATTATATTTATTCGTGTCCACATTATAATGCAATTATTGATTGGATTTCAAAATAAGGAAACCACAATATTATAAAGATACGATTATTCCCTCTCTACTTATATTAGCCCGCGACTTACCCCAGTCAGTGCAACAAAAATCATATGATAATACTTAAAATGCTTATATGTGAAGCAAACTGCAATTAAAGAACAAATATAGAATGACTCATATTATATATGATATTTTTAATTGTGTAAAATTAATTAAATAAATGAGACTATTTTCAGTTGAGAGGCCACAGGGTTCGAGGGTTGCGGGGATTTGAGCTAAGCGTAGAGCGCGGAGAATGGTGCCGTTAACTGCACTGTGCCGAGAGTGTCTACCTTTAGAAAATCTACAGTGGAAAGGTTGATGTCCGAAACAATCAACGGGGTGGGAACATTGCAGAGTTGGCCAGTATTTTACAACCGAGACGGAGACCTATTGCAATGCGTAATTCTTCGTTTGTTAGGAGGAGTAATAAGTTTGAGCTGGGCAAAGCTTCTAGCCATTTGTAATCCGATAAGGAAGTTAAAAGTTGTGGAACTTGCAGTAAAGTAAAATAAAATTTCTTAAAATTATAAAAGTCGAAATCTAAATGTTATCATTATTATTACAGGTTTAGATAAATATTGATGTTATAGGATTACCAGTTGATTAAAGTCAATATTAATTTGATGACGACCTTAGGATGAGAGAATTAAATAATGGAATGAGGTTCTGCTGTCGTAGCGTCAATAGACTGGCAAGGCATAAAATAGATTTTGAGAAATAATATAATAATGTACGGACTAGTTAACATTTAGGGGATGAGTGGCAAAATTAAATGTACTGGGTCATCAGGGATATAAAGATTATGATTTGGGAATCTATGGCTTATCAACTATAGTCCTATGTGCGATATTAGTTATAATGATGGGATTTTGAATGGTCATTATTAATATTATGAGGACCACAAAGAAACGATATTATGGATATAAAATTAGAGTGTAATGGAGGTGCGAAACTGGTTAGGTGACGTGGCCGTTCAAAAGATAATGCTCTCTCAAGAATATGATCTCAGATAAGATAACAATTTGAGACTATCTCAAAGTAAAGGATAAATATGAGATGGCTTCATGACAAGGAGTTGAAGTTGTAAAGGAAGTGAGAGAAGTAACGTTTAGCTTCCAAAGGTTTGTATTACCAGATTATAGAATAATTTATATATAGTTATTCGAGAATTCTCGGATGTTGTTCTATATGTGAAGTAGATTTAATATAAAATGATATAATTTAATTATAATTATCTACCTTTCATCGCAATGTTATCTCCCATGTTTATAATAACTATATTCTTTATACATGTTTCATATTGACGTGATATTTAACCACACAGAAATCTAAGGGGATAAATGAAATACATTCTTTGTTCTATGTCGTTCTTACCCTTCATAGCGTACACCATTATCATAATAAGTGATTTATCATCTTTGAATGCGATACCTAACTTTACCCAAATAAGAAATAACAAAATAAACGAAAATTCCGGTGACATTGAATATGACTCGCAATTCATAAAAAATAAAAAGTATTCAACAATATTTGAATGATTTATTTATTTGCCGCAGAGTCCTTCATGGGCCTTTATTTTTTGACCAAACCCGGCCCAGGTCCGTAGTGAAAATTATTTAGACTCAAGACCGGCCCATATCTAATGTTAAAAAAATTTCCAAAGCCCGGTCCAAGCCCATGATAAGTTTCAAAAAAATTTCTTAAACCCTGCCCTAGCCCATATCCAAAAATTTAATTTTTTTCATTTAATTAAAATAAATAATATTTAAAAATATTTAGGCAATCATTTTGTTTACAATACTGAAATTTATTATTATTAGAAGAAAAAAAAGGCAATATTTCTTTAAATTAGCAACTGTTTTAAATAATCTAAATTTAAATTTAATAATTTTAGGCCCAAGCCCAGCCATAGCCCATTAAAAAATTTTTTTAATCCAGGCTCGGCCCAGGCTCGCTGGAAAATATAATATTAGACGGGCCGGGTATGGACCTGCGGGCCACGGGCCGCCCATGTAGGTCTCTGATTTGTCGCTATCACTATTATATATATATATATGTATTAATGAATTATAGAATCCATATGGATTTCGTATTTTTATACATTCTTAAATACATTCTATGTGATCATTTTAAAAATCACCTTAAACAAATAATTTAAAATTGAGGGATTTCATACCCATGAATTCCATATTTTGTTATGATATATTCTTGAATTTTATTGATTAATATATACTTTAATCATATATTCATATCTTACAGATACAAAACAGATCAGATAAAGAGACCCAATATTATATTGATGCTCACAGATGACCAAGATGTTGAATTGGGTAATATTAATAACTTAGATTTGATCATGATTCTATAAATAAAATATAAAAAGTCCTTTTAAAAAACATTTATATTTTGCTTTGCAATTATATTCAAATTATCTCATGATATCACATTTCATGGCATGCCTTGCCTTCTCATTTTGAACAATTTTAGAATTTATTAAAAATTTCAAAATGCATAATACAAATAAAATCAAATCGTCAATGACATTTATTGATTATTTTTTTTAAATTTTAACTTTTCCTTCATTACACATATTTTTTTTTAAGGCTCTTTGAATTTCATGCCGAAATTGAAAAAAATTTTTGAGAAGGGAGGCGCAAAACTGAGTAACGCTTTTGTGACTTCTCCTGTATGTTGCCCATCTCGGAGTTCTATCCTTACAGGAATTTACGCTCATAATCACAATGTACACTCCAATAGGATAAATTGTTCATCACTTGAATGGCAAATGACTCACGAACCTAGAACTTTCGCTAACTATTTACAAAAGGAGGCTGGTTATATAACAGGTTTTAAAAAAAATTTTTTTTAATTTTTAAATTGATTTGTAATTAAAAATTATATTTTATTCTTCAAATTTTACAAACATTTTATAAAGGAACTTTCAGGCGCTTAGCTAGGAATTTTCTATGGGAAGGATAATTTTTTTTATATTGAAATGATTATTTTTGGAGCATTAAAAATTAATTAGAACTAATCACATTTGAAAATATGATAATTTCGAAAACAAATAATAAAATACTGGAAAATTTAAAATATTAAGAGCGAATATAATACAGTTAAAAAATATCATAGCAATATAGACCAGCATATAAATCACAATAAAATATAAAATTTTATAATGAATTCAAAAGTTAATTAAAATATCCACAAATAAACCTAATCTTCTTTGCGATTGCGCCAATACTTTAATAATTTATGGGCTATATCTCGATGTCAATTTTAAGATCTCTTAATTTTGTTAGTAATGAAGAAAAGGTTCTCTCATTGGTGTTTGTACTAATTTGGTATCAATGCCAAAATATACAATAATTTTAATAATTTGGAAAACTTATCAAATATATTTTAAAGTATGAAATGCTTCCACTGTTTCTTAGAGGATTATCTACAAAATTGAATTTTCAATCATACCTTTTAAATTCTGAAATTAATTGGCTTATAGATACATTTATATCCTAAGGATAAAATTTAGCCAAATATTTAATTTTCAATATAAAAATTTCATATATCCTCAGATCAGAGGCGGTTATAAGATATAGTATTTGAAAATTGGATAGAGCCATTTGATAAATTACATCGTTTATTGATGACTCAGGATAAAATCCAAAAGTGGAATAACATTGGTTATTTTATAATAATCTTCAATTTAGTCCACGTTAATATTGGAATGATTTGTTTGTAGGTGAAACAAGGCTTATTGAATCTCAGAATCAAATAATTTCGCTTTCACCTCAACCGTCACATAAATCTAGAGAAATTCCTGGCCAATATTATTTTTTGGTTTTCTAAGTAATATAATAATATTCGCGATTTACATAACTTCAGCCAAATCTATTTGTTAAAAAATATTGCATAAATTGTTATGTAATAAATAATTTATTAATATATATCATTTAAATATATTTTCATTTATGTTATTAAATTATAATAAATTTAGCATTGCATTTTATTAATCACTCTATCTTGATTTTGAATAATTGTTGCTAGTGCATAACATCAAGGTTCCCTAACAGAGGGGAGGTACAAACATCCTTAAAATCTTCTCAACATACTGAGTCAGTATCCATTTTATAACTGTCTTGATTTACTAATTGGAAGTCATATTTGAATAGTTCTATTGCTAGAAAACTTTCGAAGCGATATATCATTTATTTTAAAAAAAATACCGAATAGGTTTATTAGACCATTTTTTTAAGAATATTATAACCTTAATTAATATCATGCGACCCTTCTAACCATAACCTATACTAGGAGTAATATAATGATTGTATATATAAAATACTCAAAAATAAAATTTGTGCTTCTGCTGCGTAATAACTAGTAGTATAACTAGAGGGCATAGGGTCTCAAGCCCCCTAGAAAATTTGAAGGCTCCCTGAGAATTTAAAAAAAATACCTTTAAAAAAATTCCTTTTAAAATGTTAGCCCAAAAAAAGGCCAAATGAAGACTAGAGACGCCACTGGCAGTAACATAATTTTTCGTTTATTCCTGTACATCATTCCCATTATTTTGATTAATCCTTATGACTATCCAAAATTTTACATCTATTTTGGCACTCATCATCCTTTTGTATTTTATCTTACTAGTGGAGACTTGGGTTAGGTAAACCGCGAGGCTTGGCAAACTACTTAATCTCGCTTTAAAATTAATTAGACTAGAAGGTTTAAATTTTATCCAAATATTGTTTTTATTGGTATGCATCTATAGACAAAAAATCTTTTAAAATAATTAATCATTAAATTTTTTATTTAAAAAATAAAATTTTGATGTAAAATTCTAAAGATTTTTACATGACAGAACTCTAATTTTTATTAAAATATATAATCATTTATTTATAAATTAAATTTTATAACAGTTTCAGCAGTCACTCTTTTATAATTTGAGATTAATGAGTATTTATTATGTCTTGATATTATTTTAATCATGATAATAAATTTAGAGCTAAAATGGTCCTACAGTTTATATTATGTTATGTTCAAACTTCGAAAATTTTTTTATATGTCCAAAATATTTATTAAATTAACCAAAATTAAGTTTCAGTTTTTATACATAATTAGCTTCAATTTAAAAGTATTATGATAATTTAAACAATTAAAAAATAAAAATGCATTTCAATTTATTATAGCCTAAAAAACTAATGGTTTAGAAAGCCCCTTTAAATGGTTTGTTTTTAACCCGCCAATAGGGCTTGGGAAAAATTTCCACTTTTGCAAAAAACTTTTGAAAAATAATGATTTATATTCTTTAATTTTTTTTATAAAGCATCTTTTTATAGAAAGGTATCGATTCAAATATCGTTATTTATTAAATGCACAGTAGTTATAGCCGATTTTTCATAAATTGCTTTGACCAGCCCCAGATTCCCCTACATTCCTTAATTCCTTAGTTCTCGATCTTAAAACCAAACAATAGATTTTTATTATTCAGAATTATTTTATATAATATTTTATTTTAAAATTAATTCCATCTCAGGCTACTTCGGTAAATATTTAAACCAATACAACGGATCCTACATACCTCCAGGGTGGGATGAATGGTTGGGCCTTTTTAGGAACACGAGATACTACAATTACACGATAAATCATAATGGGATTAAAATCAAACATGGCGACATTTACGAAGAAGACTACTTTAGTGATTTGATAATCAATGAGAGCTTAAAATTTTTGAATAGTTCTAAATATGCCCACCCAGAAAGTCCAATACTTATGGTTCTGAGTATGCCGGCCCCCCACGGAAATGAAGATAGTGCGCCTCAATACAGTCATATGTTCAAAAACGTAACTAGCCACAGGTGATTTTGTTATTTATGAATATATTTAAGCATTTTATATTCCCAAAGACATGCCTATATTTGTTTAAATTGTTTATTTCAGACACATAAAAACCCGAAACAATTGAACCGAGCCATAAAGCGACAGGTCTTTACTTTCTAAAATATACTGTATGTATATTGGATATAATAGAATATGCTATTTTTCTTTTAATGGCGCGATGGAGGTATCCAAATCCATTGTAAAAGCCGTATACAACATTTTTATTATCATATTCTGACAATAAAAATATTGAAAAATATTTATTTTATCATAAAAAGATTTTTGCACGCGATGAAATTGCTATCTAATTTGAAAATTTATGGTGCATTTACAGTTAACAAAATGGGCTCTTTATTCATCGGGTAGAAATAGTTAAAGTAGCGCTACATTTTATTAGCTGTGAATGCACGGTTAGATATCGTGAATACATAAAAAATTTTAACGGTTCTACGTTGAGAAGTAGTCACTGATAAAATTTTTACCACCTTAATTACATATTAAGATAAAATTAAATTATTTCGATTATTTTTTTTTATTTCCTGAGGACTCCCTCCTGGAATGCTCCTGCCATGGATAAAGAATGGAGTTTACAAAGAACGAGAAAAATGAAACCTATTGAGATCGCTTTCACGGATATGCTTCATCAGAAAAGACTTCAAACTTTGCAATCTGTAGACGAGGCCATAGAGAGAGTAATAGAATATTTATAAAATATCTAACTACTCTATTAAATGCAACATTGTATCATATTATTAAATGGAATAATTTTTGTTAAAAATATTACTACTAAAAGCTGTATAATGAATTGGATAGCATAGGCGAACTCAATAATACTTATTGGATATATTCATCCGATCATGGTTATCATATAGGCCAATATGGTTTGGTAAAAGGAAAATTTCTACCATATGAATTTGATGTCAGGGTTCCATTGTTTATTATAGGACCCGATGTTACACCGAATAGCGAGTAAAAAATGAATATATTTATCGTATAAATATCTCTTGTAAATAACCTAATATAAAAATATAGATTTTTATGATAATTAATATTGTCAAGAAGATTTAATTTTCAAACCCTAAAAGCATAACTTATCAATTGGCTCAACAGGGACCTTGCACCCCTTTAAGCCAGACTTTACCTCTTATCCCCTTGCCATTCCCTACCAGACTACCACCCAAACACTCATATCCTTTTACTACCTCCTACACCTACTCCCTTTTCTTCCTTTTCTTCCTTATCTTCTCATACCCCTCCACTAAATGAGATTTAGTTAAATATAGGAGAATCCAAATCAAAATTAGCAAGAAAAATAAAGGAAAAATCAAAACGACCTCATATCCCATTTTAATGACAATTTATGCCCCCCCCCCACCCTTGATATAGGTTTCTGGCTTAGGATATTTAGGAAAGTATTTTATAAGCTGAATATACAAAATATTTATTTGGAATTCTATACAATTAAAACAAGAATAAAAGAGATCGCCCTAAACCTCGATATAGCGCCGACAATTTTAGATATGGCGAGAATAAACATAAAACAGCATATGGACGGGAAAAGTTTATTATCTTTATTGAAGAATGAACATCAGATAAAGTATACATATTTTTCAGTTTTAGAATGATATATAAATATTATTATAAATATACAATTAAAGTGTCGAAAAGAACTCTGTTTGGAGAGATACCTTTTTGTTAGAGATGAATGGAATAAATAAAAAGCTGCTTTTATGCATTCAAAATTTGAGTTTCAGCATACAGAATCATCAAAAAGGTGATCTAGGGATAATAGAAAGGGAATGGATCGAAAAAGAATGCCTCAAGACAAATTCTTCGCTTTGCAATAAAGATCAAGTTTGTATTATTATATAACATTATAGGTAACCACCTTAATAAAGTCATCATTTTTTCCAAAATAATTTAATCCTCATATACATAAATTATACAAATAGGAATGGTATTGCGAGAAAGACACTAACACCAATAAATGGGGTAAAGTCAATTGTCGTTATTATGGAGTTATGACTCAAGGTCAATGTATGTGTATTTCTAAACACAGTAAAAACGTTCCTTTTATATAATATAATTTTTGGTTATTTATTTTGTGTTTAAATCCACACAGGGTAATAAACTTACAAACACATAAAACTATCTTCTATTAAATATTATTTAGCGTTGAATGGAATAAATTTCCAATCCCTTCTGGATCTTCTAACCGGTTCCATTTCTATTTTTGGCCTTAACAATTGCGAATAATCTAATTTCTTGCGACACAGCGTTTTTGTCTCTCGGTACAGACTTTCTTCATATCTATATAGAACTGTCTCAGGAACAATTGGGATATGTGATTCCTGTAATATTAATTAATGGTTTAGATTCTTGTATTAGTATTGAGTTATTGACGGGTACTAACTTTTTTATCTCAATTCTTATAATATTCATAATCTATGTTCATGATAGGAATATTAATATATCTTCAAAATATATTAAATTGTGTTTGTACTACGTATGACATTGGCCCTTTTTTCCTAATCATTGTTTTGGGAATCATTTATCCAGGAACAAGAACTGAACGTTTAGGGAATAGAAGTTGTGGAAAATTATGAAGCGCGAATGGAAAGGATGAATCCGAGAATTTTCCGTAAAATTTTGTAACGTTCCTTGGACATTTCGAATGTTCCAAAAAATTATATCAAAATTTATTTAATTAATTTTACACAATTAAAAATATCATATATAATATGAGTCAACCGTTATAATATTGTTGTTTACTTATTTTGGAATACAATCAATAAATACATCAGAGATCTGCTAAGTTAGGCCCGGCCCGAGTCCGGTCCGGCCCGCCGTGCTTGGGTTAATTTTATTTAAAATAATCGGGTTCGGGCCGGGCCGAGCCTAATATTTTTTAAAAAAATCGGGCTGGATTGTGTCGGACCTTGGAAATTTTTTAAATATAATCTAAATTTATCAATTTTACATTGAATTTTTTATGTAAAATAAAAATATTTGATTTTATTTATTGAAACTAAACGACATATAACATATGTCTTTTATTTTGAAGAATAATAAAAATTAATTTCTATATTTAAATAAATTCGGGCCGAGCCGGGACCGTAAATTTTTTAAAAAAATTTTGGGTTCGGGCCGGGCCGGCAAAACATTTTTAAAATAAATTTCGGGCCAGGCCGGGCTTGAAAAATTAGGCCCGATGCAGATCACTAAAATACATTATAATGGGGACTGGAATAAATATAATGAGAAAGGGAATAAGTGTATATTTATAATATTGTATCCTTATTTAAGAATACAATCAATATATACCTTATAATAGGGACGGAAATAAATATGATGGGAACGGGAATAACTGTACATTACAAGGGGATATGAATAAATATAATGAGAAAGAGAATAAATCTATTTTTATAATATTATTGTTTCCTTGTTTGGAATACAATCAATAATTACAATATAATGAGGAAGGAATTAAATGATGTTATTTATAATAGTACAATAAAAGGTACGCATAATTTATAGTTAATATCCAACAAAAACGAAATGTTAACCGCATGAACATTTAATTACCAAGTTTATCAAAGATCTCTCATCTGATTAATGTTTGCAAATACAACCTTATGATCTACCTTTATTTCCCATATGACATTACTGATTCTCCCAATGACAGTCCCTACTTGCCACTTTTGATTTGAACTGACTTTCACAAACACAAAGTTACCAAATAATCCTCTACTATTAATTCTTTTAAAATCAGGCCCAACATCACAGCCATTATTCTCTAATAAACTCCATTTACATCTAAATTCCCTACCCAATAATATAGCTGCAGGTGAAATTTTTGTCACCGAATGCGTCGCATTGTGATAATTTAATAAACATTTGCTAACATCATATCATCTCAACCCCCCTAATTTATAAATCATATTTTTTACTGTGCGGCAAAAATTTTTTAAATTTATCAGACCTGAATGCAGGTCCATTATCTTAAATGAATCCAATGGATAACCGAATCTAGAACATTATTCAATTTCATTATAGTTGTAACTGTATTAATGTATTTCACCTTTATAATTTATTATCAATCCTTAAAAATTCTTAATCGGTTCAAAGAAATAAATGTAAGTTTGATACCAGGGCTTATGTGGCTGCACTCAAAGATTTTGCCTACCTCTTGGTAATTCATACACTTATTGCATCTAAACACCATTTCCTTTATGACTCTCTTAACTCCTGGCCACCAAGAATATCTCTTCATCATATCAATCATCCTCAAAATCCCAAAATAAATATCAAACATCCTACAAACTAAAGATTCTCTCCATTTTTTAACTGCTAAAACAATAGGGAATCCTTCTTTTTCAATAATCAAATATTTCTCAGCATCAGACCATACTTTTAATATGAATTCAATAGGTCTCTCATGATCATCTTCTTCAAAATGAAACATAAATGCCCCCATACCCTTTTTCGAAGCATCAGTCGAAATAAACAACTTCCTACTTCTATCATAATGTGCTAAAATAGGCGCATTACATAATATCTTTGTGATCTCATAAAAACTTGCACTTTCATCAATACGCCAGTAGAAATGTTTCCCCTTTTTAATCAACCCACATAAATTAGATGCCAACTTTGAAAAACCTTCGATAAACCTGGAATAATAATTCATGAGTCCCAACTAGGATTGTAAATCATCCTTATCTTTAGGTTCAGTCATTATCCTAATAAGATCAATTTTTTCTTTAATAGTCTGTATGCCTTTACTACTTATTAAGTAATTTAAATACTTAATGTTGTCTTTACCAAATTCACTCTTTTTAATATTTCCAATCTAACCAAATTCAACCATTTTCTCAAAAACTATTTTCAATTTTTTAAAATGATTCACAGTATCCTTACCAAAAATTAATAAATTAGATAATATATGACTCCATTTATGTCAGAAAATATCTTATTTCTTATCCATAGTTTTTTAGAAATATGCAGTTGAAACTATTAGCCCAAAAGGTAACCTATTAAATTGAAAAGACTTTTGTCAGTAGACACCGTAATAAATTTGCGGTCTCTTTAGAGACAGGTATTTGCAAGCTGATAAAAAATTTATTTTCGAAAATATCCAACCTTAGCATTTATGTCACTTATCTTTGGCAGAGGATATTCAAATATTTCTAACTGCGGATACACTGTGACTCTAAAATCAGCACAAACACGTAAGGCATTAGTCTTTTTTTAACCAATACTAATGGTTTAGCCCATTGGGAAAATCTTACAGGAGTTATTATACCCTGTCTATGCCATTGCTCAAGCCTCCTTTCCAAACTATGTTCAGAACAACCTTCTTCTGTACATAACTGAATCAAAATATTCCCTTTATATTTATTATTCTTATTTTTACACGGATTGGTAAACGATAAAATTTATTTATCTATCTCTTGTTTAAACATGTTTATATCAAATTCTTTAATCCAATTGTGACCACATACTGTGATGGGAGAGAACCTTCACAAGAGAACAATTTCCTAGAATAACTTCTCAACTCAATATTTTCATAATTCATGAGCTTTTCGAAATATTTAATCGGCAAGGATGTCACTGGAGAACCAGTATCTATCTTAAATGAAAAATTAAGATAATTTAATTGCATATCAATGATAAAATCATTCATAAAATTGATCTTATTTCGTTGCCTCAGATTATAAGGCATCTGTATAATTCTTGCTTTTTGATGTTGTTGTTGTCGGTCCCCTTAGAGCATATTTATTTTCTTTCCAGAATTGCCCTGCAATCTCGTTCCATCATATTTCTACAGGAATCTTTCTCTGCACAGATTCTATTATCAGTAATTTCCATCGGTAGACATTTGACCACTATATCATCAATAATGTTTAGATCCGTCGTATTTTCCTTTATCAATCTTACTTTAAGTTTTTTGACGAGTTAATCATGAATTGTACCAGAATCAATTCCGTATTGCCCCGAACCACATCATTCTCTGGAAGATTCCAATCCATCAGGTTTGGAATTAAACAAATTCAAAGATTTTCGTAATTTTATTCTTTTCAACTTTATTATATTAAATCTTTCATTTGCTGATATGATAAATTGTCCAGATTATCTATAATGCTAACCACATCAACTTTTTTCGAATAGTTTTTATTTTTTTGTGGCTTCATCAACAATATTCTCCGCTAAGAATTTTAGCGCCAAGGTTTTTAATAGAACCTTGACTTTGATAAAATTACTAACTTCCACCATGTTGCACTGATTGGGGTATGTCGTAATTCGTTGGGTTGTGTCGTCGATAAGAACGATTTTGTTATATTTAATAACTATTTTTTTTATTAAGGATTAAAATTATCAGATACACATAATAAAGTCATATATATACACACACTTTGTAAAATAAATTGATCATAATATATTAAATTGACACCTCAAAATAAAAACATTTAAATGAACATGTGAAGTCAAAATAAATCGAACAAAATATAATATGAAATTATCGCCTTAACATATATCCATTGAAAATAACAAAATAACACAATTATTGTGTGAATATTTTTTTTAAATCAAATTTAAGATAACTTTAATGTTTTGGGATAAATTAATATTATCTAATAAAAGTTTTAAATTCCAATAGACAATCTTGTTACTAAGTGCGTTACCTGTTTTTCGACAGTCAAAAATATAAAAGATAATATTTTAGAGAATATCACAATTAACACTTGAACACAGGCGCGTACGAATTCGCTATGGGAGGGGAGAGGGGGGTTTAATGAATTTTTTATATAATTGTTCTATGAGTTATTTAAGAATATCTTAACAGCGTAAAAAAATAGGTGGGTTCGGTTCAAGGAAATATTACCGAATCCGGGTTTGGTAGGTTAAACTCGGGTTTAGGAATTTTTGAAATTGATAAAAAAAATTCTATCTTTAAATCATAATTAAAAAATTAGACATAAATTTGGTATAAAAAATAAATGTTTTATAGTTAAAATTGCAAAGCATAATCATGTATCAATTTTAAAAATTCTATTTAAGCGTATTTCTTTAAATTAAAATATCCAATATAATAATTTTTACTATGACTTGTTCACTTTCATTTTCCTCTAATTAATAATCTTTGAGAATAATTTAAAAATTAAAAATAAATGGCGTAAATGAATTTAATGGTTTAAAATTAATAATCCAATAGGAATCTTTGAGAATAAATTTAAAAAACTTTAAAAATGACAAATTTGAAAATATTATATAATCTCAATTATAAATAATCATTATTTGTATTTACTATTATAAATATCTTAATATATGATATTAAATAATGAATCCGTGTTCAAATAAAATTACTGAGTTCGGTTCGGGTTTTGAAAATTTTTAAAACAAGGATCAGGTTCGGTTTGGGTTTAAATTTTTTTTCCAAAAACCCGGATTATCTTTTCCGGGCTCGAGTTCGATTTGTATCCCTGAAAAAAATAATATTAATTTTTTAAATTTTTAAATTTGATATAAAGTTTCAATTATATTTTAAAAAATAAATATTGTAAATATAGATTAATGCCCAAAAATATTCTTAAGAACTATTGCATGTATATAAACTTTCAAAGTATTCATAAAAAATATATTGTATATTAATAAATTGAGAAAAATTTAATTAAGAAGCATATTATAAAATTATAATGTAAATTCAATCTTCTTTGGGTTTGACTAATTTTTCAATGATTTTGTCGGTGCTTGGTGCCAACTCCACATGAATATTAAAAAAACCGACCTATTCAATCTATTTTAGAGGAAGTACTGCTCACTTTTCAGGCCAGGCATGTTTTTATTCTTATTAAAAAAATATATTCTTTAGTTGGTAGATAGAAGGAAGCGGGGCACGATGAATACAGGGTATCCACTTCAATTAAACTTTAAGATATTAATTTTAAGATAAATTTAAGTCCAATATAGATAATTACGTTATACATAATCGACTATATTTTATATTTTAATTTTGATAAAAGAAAATGTGTTTTACCATAAATAACAAAAAATAATTTCAAATACAATCCTTTAAGATAAATTTATGAAAGTTTAAACCTTATTTTTTAATCTGACAACTTTTAAGAATTATAAAACATGAATTAATGATTTTGAATGGTATTTATAAAGTTTGTGGGCTATACCATGGTTGATCTAAAATATTATCGAAATTATTATATACCTCCAATGTTTCTCTCGTTATATGGATATTCATTTAGGTTTACATTACTCCTGCTAAGACTTTCAGGTGATCAATTCACGGCTCCTTATAAATTTTTTTATTACCCCTCTGTATGTTATCTTTATCTGATCAATCTAGTTCCCAAAATTTTAATTTAGTTTATGTCATTTTCATATTTTCTATCACAATTGAAATCTCTATCGCTTTATTTCAGTAGATTTTTGTAACTTTATAAAAAAGTTCTTCTTATAATATAGTTGTCATTTGGTTATTACCCTTCTTTAATGATAACTAAACGGGTAACAATAACTTAAGGTGAAATAAATATTCTACAACCAAAGTTTTAATTTTCAACGGATAATTTGCCTCCAAAGCTGTTTTCAAATGGTTTTCAACAGTAACATTTATATTAGCAAAACCAGACAAATCAAATGATAATCTTCTGGAGAATTTATTAATGCTTGAGTGTTATAATAATTGGGGGTGAGGAAGGGGGGGGGGTAAAAGGTTTTTATAATTATTCCTTGATAAAATAATAACTAACATTTATAATTAACATCATATTAATGTGACCCCTCCTTATTAGGGTGACCTCAATAAGTCCAATATATCCTTATTAATATACATTATGTTTAAATTAAACTGATACCATTTTTGTTTTGGCAATAAATCTGCCAATTATAAATATAATTCGAAAAAATAGCGATTGAGTGAGAGATAAAATCAATGTTTTCTGCAGATTTCATTAAATTTTGTCAACGGGGTTCATTATGCACATTCAAATTTAGACAAACAAAATTCGAATTTTACAGCATGTAAAAATTCATTTTTTTAATATTTAACTCTCGCAATTTTTATGATCGTGTGACCAACAATTCCATTCCTCTACAAGTCGCTGTTGAGATAACCCGTTCTTGAAAGATGCTCCTTATTCTTACTTTGTGAGGATGGGCACTGTCGTGCTGGAATATGAAAAATTATACTGCCCGACAATTCCTTTAGCAGGCAATAGGTGCTCACGGAATAAAACATCACGATAGTATGCACCATTAATTTTGACCTCTGGATGATAAAGTTGAGTTGTATACAACCAAGACTTGATACTCGACTGAAACCATTATGGATTTGGAGAAATTTGAATGAGTAATCGATTGATGGCAACTTGTTTTTTCTTATTGGAACTGAAAAGCACACCTTATTAATTTGCATATCTGTAAAGTTGCTATAAACAGTTTTTTACCGGAGAACCACATGAAATAAACTAATCTTTGAGGGTATTTTTGTATAAGTTTGGTAGGTACCAAACAGTCTTATTCGCATCACTTAGGTCATGGGCGTGATCCTATTTAAAGTATTTTAGCTGTCGCTCTTTGTGGTTAATCTGATGGACTAAAATTCGCGAAATGGAAGTACCCGGATAATTATTCTGTGCGTGCCATATCAGTTTTCTTGGAGCAATACGAGTGCTTCAACAGAGTCAACATTTGCCAATCTACGAGTACATGGTCATACCACCATCATACCGTTTTCTGCTGATAATGTTTTTCTTGTCTTAAAATTTTAATCAAATTCAAGTTATCTTTATTGAAAACCATTTAGTTTTATTATCCTCCGCATAAATGTAAAGTTTAATAAAAAAAAATAAAAAATTAATTTTTACATTTTGAAAAGTTTAATTTTGTTGCCCAACTTTGAATGTGCACAACTTTGGATCCTGTTATAGAATTTGATAATATATGATAAAATCATTGAAATTTATCTCTCTCAATCTATAAAACTTTATTAAATCATTTTAGAATTGACAAATTTATTGCTAAAACAAATAGGGTATCATGAATTGGAACACAGTCTATCTAAACTGATTAATGTTAAAAATGTAATTTGCTTGATAAAATTTTTTTTAAAACCATTATAACGAATTCTTCATTCCATTTTCCCAATTTCTCAAAAAAATATGAATAAAATAAATTCTTTCGCCACTCATTTTAGGTATTTTTCCAAGAAAGTATTCAGGAACATTTCGAAAACACGAAACAAATTTTTTTAATTGGATCAGAAACACGAAAATTCTTTGTTCGAATTCCTGAATTGAACCCATTTGGGAGATTCAGAGCTTATACAGAGGTAGGGGTTAGAAACTATTTGTCTCCAATAATTTTGAGGGGGAGGGGAGAGGAGTACCTAGCTAAAGGCGTTATACTAGAGAATAGGACAAAGTAAAAATAACCACTTTCTATAGATTAAAAACGTAAGTATCTGGTAAAAGGATTCAAATATATTATAATAGATTATTTAAATTATAAAGGATATAATTTAATTTGAAAATTCAACCGGTAAAATTTTAGTACAGTTTGAATCTATAAACGATCGTGACTAAATTTTAGGCTACAGTTAGTAAAATCTAGTTAATTATCATTAAATCATTAAATTGTGTATTTGTTGCTCTTAGCTTAAATTATGAATAAAACAGTTTTAATTTGGATTTTGTTGAGAGGTTATAAATAGTGGTTCATTCATTAGAAGATTTTTAATATCAATATGATACGAGGCTAAAGACCGTGTAAATATTTTTAGAGGGCTTTTAGATAGATTTTGGAGGGGGGGGGGTGTCTCAAACAAATATTTTCTCTTGTAAATATTTCCCATTGCTATTGTCATATTTATAACTATGTGATCTCTTTGAAACTAACCATATTCTCAAAATGACATTATTTACTCATTCCTTAACAGGTCATGGAATAGAAGATCATAACGTTCAAAACGTAAATTGCAATTGCCCTCAATATGTATTAGGACACGAGAATAGGACACCCGGAAGCGATAGAAATGGGTCGAGGAATGATCACCCATTTATATTTCATAGGTTTGATACTCAAGTTAAAAAAAAATCCGCAGAAAAAGTCTCAGAGTTGGACTTACGTTGCCGAATTGTTAACAGTTCAGTTAAAATAAAAAGGTATAAATAGGCAAATTAATTTATTAATTTTTTCCTATCAATCAAGCTATTATCTTTTTTTCCCCTCCAATTATTTTTAAAACCAATATTATTTAATGCGGTCGATCGAATATTTTTTTGCCCACACTCTGGCTCGATAGCAAATTATTCTACCAATTTTTAATCTTTTTATGCAATTTTAAACTATATGAGATGTCCGGTTGGCCTACTTTATCCATAAAAAAGGAGAAAATGTATAATTCATTGTTCTTATTTAATCATTGGCCGACCGCTTCTTTGCAGATTATTTTATTCTTCCTTTTCAATTTGTTATAACAAAAGATGCTTTATTTATCCATTTTATTTACATTTTATCGACCAAATTATAAAGATGAAAAATGAATAGCAAATAAAATGATATTTTTATTTATCCTATCTCCACATTTTATTTTATTAAAATTTTTAAAAAAAATATCAATTAGGCAACGGAAGAATAGGAATAACGTGACTAATATTTTGATGACCAACCAAACAGTAAGCCATTGGTGGAACTACAACGAGACTACATTGTATTATATTATATGTATTTAAATAATTTTAAATACTATTGTTAAGATTTTTTGTTTGTCTTTCTCTTCGATATTTTTATATATACGTATCTATAATACCGGCCCGATAGCTAACAGTAACGCTATTGTCATAAAAAGTGATATAGACGTATCTCTGATTACATTATTTATTACCTAATTTAATTTTCAGTCTTATTTTATTACAATAACAAAAATGTCGTTTCTGTAGTGTTGTTAAACAGCTAAATTTTTAAAAACGGCTCACCTGATATGATATTTTAGCCAAAAATATTACGCGAGCCTGGAAATCTTGACCATTGATAGCTGAATGGTTTTGACATTAATTAACAAAATCTCGAAGTTTGCGTGATTTATTTGGCTAAAATATTGAATTAACCCTTTTTAAAAATCGAGCCGTTTAACAACACTACGTTTCTGTTGCAATCATTTATAACGAAAAAAATAATATAATCATAGCATAATCAATATGCCTAAAATTTACACCCCTAAAACCGTATTATTTTTATTCCCCCTGCCCTCATCGGAAGCTTACTCACTCCTCCTGAAGGATATGTAGGCAAATGGATCATAACTCCCCTCTCCCTCCGTTCATGTAGACATTGACCATAATAATTAGATTCAATTTATTCATTTTTAATTAAGAAATATTACCAAGCGATCAAAGACTCTTAAATGTTCAAACAGTTCAAATAAATGCAAAGGAAAAAGTAGACAAAAAAGGCTAAGAGAAAAAGAGCGACAAAAAAGGCTTAGAGAAAAAGAGCGACAAAAAAGGCTTAGAGGAAAAGAGAGACAAAAAAGGTGTAGGGAAAGAGCGCGAAAAAAAAGGTGTAGAGAAAGAGCGCGAAAAAAAATGCTTAGAGAAAAAAAACAGATAGAAGGAAAAAATCAATGCTCCAATGATACAATGATGAATTGCTTTCAACATGATAATGATCACTGGAAAACGGCACCATTTTGGACATGTATGAAATATTACCTTATTTGAAATAAATAATAAATAAAATTAAATTCGCTATCTCATTTCATGAGATATTTTGAGATTCGAAAGGTAAAATCTTGGCTTCGTCAATCGAACAGTTGCTAATTTTGTGTTTTTAATGAAACTGTTACATTTATATAAGAGATATATCTAAAACCCATAACTAAATATATATTTTTTAGGGAAAATATAATTTTAGAGTTACTTTCAAGCTTTTTAAATGTAATTTGTAAGTTTTATGATTATAGCTATAACTTCGTGTTACTTAAATTCGGTCACGAAAATATAATAAGCAACTAGGGCCTGTTTTAAAGTTGCAACTTCAACTGTAAGTATAAATAACAACACTACTAATGATCTTACATCTAGAGGATAACAATGAGGTTGAAATTAACCCAATAAATAAAGATGTGTGCTTTCAAATTATGACACTTTCTCCATAGGTGTAGCCGGGGGGGGGGGGATAGGAAATTCCCCCTTTCAGAAATATGTCATTTATTGTTAATAACATTTTAAGCTAATAACAAATATCCTCCTTAGCCCCCTCCCCCAAAAATGTACGCATATATCGTAAACAATCATTTGAAAGAAAAATGTTTTTTAAGCGAAAACCTGTTTTTATTAAAATTAATTTCCTATCCCCTTATTTTCTAGCTTACAGGCTAAGGAAACCTGACCTAAGACCCGCCAAAAAGAGGTTCTAGAGGGCAAAACCCCCAGAAATTTATTAAACCCCCCCCCCCCCCCCCACCTCATACTAGTTGCGCCCAGCTTTCTTATTCATATTGTGAACAAGGAATGGGTGAAAACTTTGAAACAATCAAAATACCATTTTTTTCTTTCATTTATAACAACATAAGTGGGACCATGTTCCTTCTGTCAAAACGCATATATTGGCTACTCGTGCCTACGAACCATCAATAAAGATTCAAATTTTTTGTACTGTGAATTCGCAACGGGATTTATAAGTTATTATGACGTAGACAATGATCCTCATCAAGTAATACTAATCTGCGAATATTAATAGTTCTTCCTAGTAGTATTGTTAAACCGCCTGATTTGGGTCGATTTTTATAGGCCCAAAAGATTTTAGCCCAAATAATATTATGTAAGCCTCGAGATTTGGCAAATAGAGGTCCAAATCTTTCTGCCATCTCAGCAAAATTTTCAGGCTTACATAATGATATTTTAGCTAAGATCTTAATCGGACCGTTGTTAAAAATTGACTTAAATCGGGTCGTTTACAACACTAAACATTTAAATTTTTTATACTTTATATATAAATTTTAAAGGCTAAAAATATTCAAATTTCAATTTTGGGTCATTTATGTGATTCATATGGTGGTTATTTTTATTTTATAATTCATATTTATTTTATAGTTTTTCAATGCCGGTTTATATATATAATTTTTTTATAATTCACATAATTTAAAATTGTGTATTAGAAAAGTTATTAGTCCTAAAAAATTTATGCTTATAATATTTTTAACTATAATATTTATTAAAATTTATTATCCCCCCCCCTCTCCCTTAGACCAAATTCCTGCATACGCGCCTGCCTACTTTGTATTTATTAACAATTAATACATCTTATTCGTGTTTATTAAATATTTATATTATATAATATATCATATATAAAAGCTCAAAAATGTAGCAGCAGAATTATCGCTATCAAATCTTCTAAATCTTAGGGCTATGTTATCGCAACTCAAATCTTGCCAAGGACAGAATTGCAATGTCAATTTTAACCAAAAGGTATACCATTTTGTTATAGAATGAATATTTAATGAAAAATCTCTTTCAGCCGGGCAATTTTTCCGAGTTTAACACAAAAAAACATATAAAGTTTAATAAGTAGTCAAAGCAAACTATTTTTATCATTTTTATTTTGCATCAAACCAATAAACCAATTTTCAGCCACCTTGCTATGCTTAACAAGATCTTTTTTAGCAAATAAATACGCCCTAAATATCAATTGCTTGTTAAAGCGTGGGTTAATGCGAATAAAATCGCACGATTTTTATTCCTTGCTAAAGCATAGCCTTAACGTCCAAACCAAATCAATTTTTGCTACTTCTTATAACAATCTCAATAAAGTGATTACTAAGGGCAATTATGGTGACAAGCAACTATGTTTAAGTAAAATAACGCTTAAAAAACGTTTGTATTAATATTTTATTGTAATAAATAGCGCATGTGTTGTAACTAGGGTATAGAGTATACATTGGGATTAGGAATCTCTCAATTTTAAATCTATCTGCGGGAGATTTTTCAATTTTTTGAAAGATCGGATTTGTTAGAAAATATATTCCAAAATGTCATAGTGCACTCGTAATATGAATTTTTAGACAATTTTGCTGTGCACCTTATGAACTAATAGTATTTTTTTTATAAATCCGTTTATAATGAATTTTTCTATAAATTTTAAAAGAAATATACCCAGTGGTGTAGTCCTTTTATTTTTTTCCCAATATTGCTAATCCAAATTTATTTATTTTCTTAGTATCTTGAGCTATTTTCATATGTTTCCTTTAAAAATATTAAAAAGGATTAATTTAGAGATTATAAATGAGATTTAGAACCCATTGAACATACCCTTAACTATTACAAAACACTCTATGGCTAGTCAAAACTAATAAAATTCAGGTTATATATTGGACCCTCTGTTTTTCATGAACCAATTAAAATAGGGAAGGTTTTTTTTGGCATTGCAAATTTACAATCACATTTATTTATTACACATTTTATTTATAATATATTTTATGATAAAACAATATAAATAATGTGCTAAAATACAGTTATAAAAAAACATATTCCCAGCAAATGAGATTTTCAAATTTAAAAAGCAATTCAAAATTGAGAGATTAAAAAAAAATGGTTTTAAAGTTTTTCTTAAAATAGACGCTTTTGCTAGAATGTAAAATGTATTGTGATTATAATTTTATCCATATATAGGCTTCATCAGGCCCAATAGATGGTTGATGGGAAAAACTATTCTACGAGTACTCCTTAAAACGAGAGACATTTATCAGGGAAACAACGGAAATAAGATATATAATTTTTTATCAGCGCATTAATGTTACTACACATCTTATTTCATTTTATAAAACAATTACTATATTTCTTGCAAATGATTACATTCCTAATAATTAGTATATAATAATATAAATTATTTATATTATTTTTTTAAAAAAATTTTTTTTTTTCGGTCATGGGTTACTTTATTTGAATATTTACTGATATGAAATGGGAAACGTTGTATTAAAATTTTATACATGATTTATTCATGTGGTAATTTCTATTGAATATAATAAAATACATTTTTTAGAAAAATCTAAAAAAGATATCAATGCGTTGAAAATGTGGAACATAAAATATTTGACTAAATTAACAAAATTTTATGTTGAATATACTGGTAACTCTTAGTTAATATAATGATAAATTTGTTAAAAAAAAACAAAATACCAAATTTCATATAAAAATGATTAAATTAAAAAATATTATATATTAAAATGGCGCATAAAAAAAAGTAATACATACATTTTCTTTAATTTTAAAAAAGAATTATAATCAATGAAAGTAAATAGAAATAGAAGGGAAAATGTTTGAGTCTTTTGCCAGGCTGCTCCGGAAATGAATGAGGCGAATAAAATTAGATTATATAATCTGAATTTCGTTGACGTCGATATATTCCTTCTTTTGGATCTCTTGATTACCACTTAGGGTTTTAACAAGTTTTTTTTTCAATTAGACTGAGCGCCTGGTTGCCAAAGGATGTTAAGGTTGCTGTCAAAATATTATAATTACGGTAGATTGAAATTAGAAGTAAATTATCTGAAAATAATAATATATTTATATTATACCAAATAATTCAAGAAATAGATTATTTAAGACACAACATATTCTAACAAAAATAAGGGAAGGAGGTGGTATTTTATATTTCAATTTGAAGTATACTTAGATTCATGAGAAATAGTTGAAAAAATTAATTTGGCTTATAGGGAGGTGAAAAACCTAAGATATCTATAGAAAATTTTTAGACCTGGATATTATTAAAATTTTTTACATTTTCATGCCAGGTCCAGCCCAGATTTTTTATAAAATGTGGCCGGGCTTGAATTTTATTATTTTAGAGAAAATTGAAAATTATTTTAAAGGAAAACTAAAAATATGACCAGCAAATGAATGTTAAGTGTGCCGATTATACTATCAGCGGCAGACACTATGTTTTAAAAACTTTTCGATGATTAGCGGTAACTGTAATCATTAACAGTGGCGTAAATGCTAATCGACTTTATCAAGGAACGCTAAAAAATTATTTAAAAATAAAGTATACAGTATGGAGTTGTATCAGGCTTAATTTTTCAAGCTTGGCCCGAAATAGTTTTTTAAAAACAATATCCGGCCCGATTCCAAGAAATTTTATTTGCCCCGAAGAGCCCAACCGGAAATCGAAAGTATTTATCCGCCCGAACCGGCCCATATTCATAATCGAGTCTTTGAACATTCCACAAACAAATAAAAAGTATTGGGCTCTTGTTTCTTGCATAATTTTAAAAATTTCAAAATTTAAGCCCTACATATACACACATAAAAATTCTATATTCTTTATTGTAAAAACTAGTGTTGCTAAAAACATCGATTTAGCCTATTTTTGAAGAGGAAGTTTTATTTTAGTCAAACAAATGTTACCTAAGCTTAGAGACTTTGTCAAAGAGGGCCAAATTTTTTTGGCATCCTATTTGAATCTCGAGGCTTAAGTTAAAGTGTATTTTTAAAATTTCAAGTTTTCACTAGTAGAGATGTAAATTTCCTAGGAAACTATACTTGAGGGAAATTTCGTGAGAAATTTTTGGAAAAACGCGAAAAAATAGGGAAACAACGGGGGAAAACTGGGAAATTTCCTTTATAAATTTATTTTACAAGTCATTATTTAATATGTTATTTAAACAAGTATGATATTATTCCAATTATTTGTTATCTTCATTTCAAACGATTCCAGATCTCTAAAATACATTAATTTGTCGTTTGTCTCGCAACATCCTAGGTATCCAGAAAATCGGCTTATAACATTTAATCATTTATCAACAACTACATTGTCTTTAAAATCAAATTCATAATACTTTGGGTCAAGTATATGAGAAGGGTAATGTATGTCCCGGCAACAAACAATTTTCAGATTTTTTTTATAAATTGTTCGATCTCCATAATTTTGTGTCGTAAAAAATTTCACTGATATATATAATTGCTTGAGGAACGTCAGATAAGTTTAAATTTTCTGCTTCGATTTTCCTCTATTTGTGTAGAAATGATTTAAAAAAAATTGTATAGATGTGCAAGATCATTTAAAAACTTTATTAAGAAGATTAAGTCTTTTATCTCTATAAAAATATGTATTTTTGCTACAAAATATCTTTATTCATTAACAGACTATTAATTATCATAGATATACTGTCCAAAGATTTGGATGGGCTAGGCACTTTACGGTACCAATCCTATTTTTATTTTTAAATAGTTGTTTTTCCTTAAATGTATAAAAGAATTGTAAAAAACATAAATAAACAACCCTACCCTCAACCCTGTCAATACTTAATCTGAAAGTAAAAACCCCTTAACTATAAAATTTCCTTCAAATTCTTTATTTACCAATATCACAAATTGACAATATAAAAATTAACATTCATATGAAAACAAGTAAACAATAATTATCCAAGTTACATTGTGAAATCTTTAAGATCAGTTCAAGTCATCCAATATATTCCGTGCATTCTTCATCTCTTTGTCCTCCCACAATGGCATCTCGTGATCTCCACAACACTTTTCTCCCTAAGGAAAATTAATTGTTCATGTCCAAAAAATGACTGACATTTATTATATTATATTAAATTTATTTCTTCTTTTTTCTAACTGCTACAACACGCCCACCCTTCACAGGCCCAGCGTCCCTCTCTCTCTCTGGTGGCATTGTATCGAATCGTCCATTTGAATTGTATTAACTTTCGGTATGCCTTGAAAACATTCATGGAATTTATCGAATCGCATCCTTTTATGATGTTTTATAGTATAATATCTCCTATACATATCAATATATAATCGCTGAAAAAAATGTTAACAATAATGACATTTACATCGTGGTATCCATATTTATAATCTATGGAACAGTAATATTGACAATATAATATACAAGCAAAACATACTACATTCATTTAAATACCTTTGGAAATATGAGTTATAGTATACAATATTTGGGGTCTGATTAATGGGAATTAGGAAATAATGATTTTACATATAATACTGTAATGTGAACAAATGGTTTATGTGTGAAATGCAATTTCAACAACATGTAATTTTCCTTCTGTCATGTAAAAAAAAACAAAGCTACATTTTTTTATGAAAAATCCATTTTTAGTTATTAAACATAATGGCGAAAATTTGTCGAACAAAGATTTTAAATAAAATTACAGGGAATATGTATAGACATAAACTTAATATTTTATAAGGAGGAAAAATATATAATATGTAGAAAATAAAATATTTTTCTCCTAGGAATTACTCAGTATCCTAAGAAAAATATACCATTTCTACCTAACCCTGCCATCACAATTAGCACGGATTCACAGAAATGTAGAATGCAGAGTAACAAAAATTGAAAATATAATGGGCCATATGGTATATATGTAGAGAATTTTTAATATAATATTCACAATATAAAATAATCTGAGTTTTTTCTTTTTTTTAAAAAAATACATATTCATAATATACTTAGTATAATGTGATGTGCTATAAAATTATTATAAAGATAAAAAAAAATGTAATACACAAAATAAATCTACAAATAAAAAAAACTTTCTCAAGTATTTAAACTAAACAATATTTCCATCTTAAGGCATACCCATCAACACATGGCTGACCTTATCCATAAAAATATTTTGCTTTTAATAAAAATTACAATAAACACAGTATAATACATGTAAATAAAAATTTTTATAAAATTTTATAATTTAAAAAAAATATATATATTAAAGATAAAGATTTCATAATTTTAAAAGAAAAATATTAAGTACTATAATTTCTACTAATATATCATATAAATTTATGCTAAATTTATTATATATCAACAATATCAAACTTATACCAATATATCATATAAATCCATACCAAATTTATATATATATATAACAAGTTCATACATTAAATCAAAAATCACTATCCACATCTACATTATAGATATTATTTTGACCCTTATCATAACTCAATTCCTTTAATTTCAATGTACTTCATAATGTTATTACATAACCTGGCAGACACATTACCTCATACACCAACGATATCATTCCTTTTAACCTAAATGTATGCCCTATATGTTTCATATAACATTATTTTACATCTAAATGTATCCTATAGATGTTTATCATTTATAATTAAATTTATCATATGTGCAATTCAAATTACACCATATTTCCTAAAAATGGTTAATTACTTCAAAATTAACAACATTAACTCACCCACAATAAATCCGTAAATAATATATCCACCTTAATTGAAACTGGATTACATATACAATTATTAACATTAATTAATAATAAATCATCCCACACCTATCCATCCCTTTAAAAACCCCAATGCATAATTATATAACAAATATTTTTTTACAAAAATCCACTTCTATATATATTTTCATAAATTCTCAATTACACAAATTTATATCTTAATCACACTTACAATCACCAATTGAATATTTTTTAACCCTATATATACATATATATCCCTGCTCATTATAATCTCCGACATTTAAATATTCAGCAATCTTTTCTAACCTGCCATTACGTGAGGTCTGTTTTCCTAATGATGGAAACCTATTCGCCATTCAATGAGTTTTAAGGCCTATCAAATAATAAGACAAATACAATACTTATTGTCAAACATTGGGTGCAAAATAAAAATCTAGACATATAATACCACAAATATTATTGTCTTAAATGGGCCAAAATTAATCTATCATTAACCAATAATATATATAATACATCATATATATATAATAAATTAATCATTTTATTTTCATTTTCAGTCC